CGACGGTCGACACTTTCGGGTCTCGGACCTCCCTCGGTTGACGACGACGACGACGACGACGACGACGACGACGACGACGAGGGAAAGGATGAGTAAGTGTAGGGCCATATTGTGGCCGTGTTTGGAAGCTTGTGGCTTGTTGGGAGCCTCTCGGGGCAGCGTGCGCCTCCTGGGCCCCTGTTCGGCCTCCCTGGGGCCATCCAGGAAATGTCGTGGGACATCTCGGTGCCCTCGTGGCTACCATGAGGTCGCTTTCTGCGATATTCGAGCCGTATTTGGTATGTCTTGGGTCTTTCTGGAGCGTTGACCATTCGTGGTTGAAGTTGGTCTCGGCCATCTTGTCCTTCTCTTGGGGCCCTCGTGTGGCTCGCTTGAGGATGGACTGGGGCCAAATGTAAAGAAGGGGAACGGGCGAAGCCGCCACCTTGCCTGTATTGTGGGTCAGAAGCATATTGGATCCTGAGAGCCTCTTGGAGGCAATCTTGATGCCTCGTGGGGCTCGTCAGAGCCCGCTTGCAGCCTCTTGGGGTTTCTTTGGGGCCTCTGGGGGGCTTCTTGGGGTGTCTCGAGGGCTTCTTGGAGGCATTCTGGCGGTTCCGCGGGCCTCCTGGGGTCCTGCCGGGCTCCAGGAGCCTCTGACAACTTTCTGTGGAAACTCTGGGGGCCTCCTGGGGGCCTCTCGGGAGCATCTTGGGCAGTCCTAAAGCTGTCTCGGGAGCATCTTGAGCCCTCGTGGGCCCGCGTTGGGACTCTCGTGGGGCGATCCTCGAGCAATCGTGAGGCTTGAAAATCCCATCGGAAGCGAAAAAGCGAGAAAGCGAAAAACATTTGAACACACACATCGGCTTTCACGATTGAGGGACCTCGGGGGCGTCCTCGCAAGCCCCCTGGGGGCTACAAGATGACAGTGTTGGGATTTTCCTGGGAAAATCAAGGTGTCCGCTCGGAACTTCTGCGGAGCTCTGGAAGCCTCCTAGAGTAGCCTGGGGGCCTCGTGGGAGGAGTGAGCTGCCCCCTGAACCATCAGTCTCTAGACGCCGAGATGGTCCCCTCAAGGCCCCAAAAGAGCTCCAGGACGCCGGGGGGCAAAGTAGGTTACCATGGGGGGGGGGGGGGGGAAATCTGGAAGGGTGTGCTGCCCCGGGGCCTGGGCCCCCGGTACCCCTGTATGTTATATACTCCCACTGGCGGCCCGGTGGAGTAGAAGACCGGTAGACCGGCGAACCGGTGGACCAACGGCCCGCTGGACTGGTGGACCGGGTGGACCGGCGGACCAATGGACTGGCGGACAGGAGGGCCGGCGGATTGGTGGTGGACGGACAGGCGGACCGGTGGACCAGCGGACCACTGCAGCAGACCCAAGGACCGGTGGAGTGGTAGACCAGCGCATGTTTTCCACCATTCTGGTTGAAGCCTGGAGACTGGGAAGTGGATAGCGTGTCGCGCCTCAGCGCGGTGGGCCAGAACTGGCGGCGCGACACGCTATCCACAAGATCAAGACCGTAGCTCACCGTACCATCCGAAACCAACCATGACCCCCTATATCCCTATCCCTCTATCATCTATCCCCTATCCTCTAATCCCATATCCCCCTATACCTATCCACCTATCCTCTAATGCCCGATTCTCCGATCCCCTATCCCCTATCCCCATATCCCCTATCGGGGTCTCACCCCATCCCCCTCTAATCCCCTTGGCAACCCCAGCGATGATCTCGGTGTTGCCACCGCCGACCGCCCTCGCGCCAGAGGCTTCCTCGCTGGACAGCCTTCCCTCCCCCCATGCGACAGTTCGTTGACTCCGCCAGGAGTGGTTTGCAAAGGGTGCGGTTTGCAACCGAGGCACATTGGGGCACCCTGGTGGGCGGGCGGGGACCCTGACAGAGCCATCCGCCGCGCCCCGAGGATGCCCGACACGGACAGTGTCGTACTCCCCAGGCCCCAACGGTGCATATCGCAAACCTGCTGTTTCGACGTGGCAATCCTGCGCTGAGACTGGTTTCGCCTGTGGGGCTCGTCAGTCCGCATATAAGCCGCACGTGGCAGCAGTTGATGAGCATGTTTTCCACCACCACCACCACCACCATAAGTTGGAGGGGGAGGGGTCCTCCTCCTCCTCCTCCTCCTCCTCCTCCTCCTCCTCCTCCTCCACCTCCACCTCCACCACCACCTCCACCTCGACCTCTCACCTCCACCTCCACCTCCTCCTCCTCCTCCTCCTCCTCCTCCACCTCCTCCTCCACCTCCACCTCCACCTCCACCTCCACCTGCACTCCACCTCCACCTCCCCTCCCACTCCTCCTCCTCCTCCTCCTCCTCCTCCTCCTCCTTCCTCCTCCTCCTCCTCCTCCTCCTCCTCCTCCTCCTCCTCCGCCTCCGCCCCCTCCTCCTCCGCCTCACCTCCTCCCCTCCTCCTCCTCCCTCCTCCTCCTCCACCTCCCTCTCATCATCATCATCATCATCATCTATCATATCATCATCATCATATCATCTCATCAGCATCAAGCATCAGCATCAGCATCAGCATCAAAGCCGAATCATATCAGCATCATCATAATCGTCATCATAATCATCATCATCATCATCATCATCATCATCATCATCAGCAGCACATCATCATCATCATCAGCATCATTATCATCACATCATCATGATCAGCATCATCATCATCAGCACATCAGCATCATCATCATCAGCATCAGCATCGTCATCATCAGCATCAGCATCATCAGCATTACATCATCAGCAGCATCATCAGCATCGTCATCTGCATCAGCATCAGCGACATCATCCATCATCATCATCATCATCATCATCAGCAGCATCATCATCATCATCATCATCATCATCATCATCATCATCATCATCATCATCATCATCATCATCATCATCACATCATCATCATCAGCAGCAGCATCATCATCCACCTCCTCCCTCCTCCTTCTCCTTCTCCTCCCCCTCCTCCTCCTCCTCCTCCTCCTCCGCCTCCTCCTCCTCCTCCTCCTCCTCCTCCTCCTCCTCCTCCTCCTCCTTCCCCCCTCCAACTTATGGTGGTGGTGGTGGAAAACAAGCCCATCAAGTGTGCGAGCGTTCAACACCCTGGCGCAACCATACCCTTTCCAGTCGCCGAGCGGTAGTCAACGTCGACGGCGCGGCGGCCGGCGGGCGGCAGCGGCGGCCGTGGCCCAGCAGGGCCTGGCGGCGAGCCCCGTCCGCCCGCGGGAGGGGGAGGGCGCACGCGCGGCGCACGCGCGGCGCCCGCGCGAGCGGCGGGGCTCCCGCGCGGGCAGCTGGCCGTCGTCGGGAGGAGGTGGGAGGAGGAGGAGGAGGAGGAGGAGAGGAAGGAGGAAGGAGGAGGAGGAGGAGGAGGAGGAGGAGGAGGAGAGGAGGAGGAGGGGAGGAGGAAAGGAGGGAGGAGAGGAGGAGGGGGAGGAGGAGGGTGGAGGAGCAGAGGAGAGGAGGTAGGCGGAGGGGAGAGGGAGGGAGGAGGAGGAAGAGGAGGAGGAGTGAAGGAGGAAGGAGGAGGCGGAGGAGGAGAGGGAGGAGGGAGGAAGGAGGGAGGAGGAGAGAGGAGGAGAGAGAGGAGGGAGGAGGGGGGAGGGGGAGGAGGAGGAGGAGGAGGGAGGAGGATGTTGACATCCACGGCCAAGGACCCACAGTATCTTATGGGGCGACAACAAGAAGAGATGATCGGCCGACACCCCCCTCCCTCTTTGGGTGGAGACCTGCCCAGCCTTCTGGGGTTCTCGCATATGTGAGCGTCAACGCCTGCGTGCAGAGAGGAGGAGAAGAGGAGGAGGGGGAGGAGGAGGAGGTTGCGGATCCATTGGCATCCGAGCGTCCTCCTCCTCCTACTCCTACTCCTACTACTACCACCACCACCACCACCACCACCACTACTACTACTACTACTACTACTACGACGACGACCACGACGACGACGACGACGACGACAACAACGACGACGACGACGACGACGACTCCTACTACTACTCCTACTACTCCTACTACTACTACTAATACTACTACTACTAACTACTACTACTACTACTACTACTACTACTACTACTACGACTACGACTACTACTAACTACTACTACTACTACTACTTACTACTTACTACTTATATACTACTACCTACTACGACTACTACTACTACTACTACTACTGCTACTATACTGCTACTACTCTACTACCTGCCTGACGACTCCTACTCCGCCTACTCCTCCTCCTCCTCCTCACTACTCCTCCTCCTCATGCCTTCCCTCCTCCTCTCCTCCTCCTCCTCCTCCTCCTCCTCTTCCTCCTCCTGGCGTGTGGCTGATTTTTCCCTGGGGCGTGGCCGAACCTCCTCCTCTTCCTCCTCGTCCTCCTCCTCCTCCTTCTCCCTCCTCCTCATCCTCCTCCAAGACCGGCGAAAGTCGCGTCGCCAGGTCTCGGGTCCACGCCGCAATTTTGCCCTCAAGAATTGGAAACCCAAAGGTGCATTGCGATGCTGTAACACACCCACCCGTCCCAAGTCCCTCCTCGCAAGTCCCTCCAAGCCGATCTTTTCACTACACGAAGCGCCTGCCTGAAAGATCAGCACCATGTGGGCTAGCCATTTGGGCGAGGGCCCCGTCTTGAAATGGAGCTGCCTTGCATTCCCCTGTAGCAAAATTAGGAATACTGAAAAATACCATCATGCAGTGCAGCGAAGTGCCTGGCGAGAAACCCCCTTTCGGAACACGGACCGCACGCCGCCGCCGTTCTCCCATCCACACGCTCCCTCGTCCTCGCGTCGTCGTCGTCTTCGCGTCCGCCGTCGTCGTCCTCGGGTTCCGTCGTCGTCGTCATCGTCGTCGTCGTCGTCGTCCTCGCGTCCGCCGTCGTCGTCCTCGGGTTCCGGACATCGTCGTCGTCTTCGTCGTCGTCGTTGTCGTCGCCGTCGTCGTCCCCCCCGGTCTGGCAGCCGCCATCGCCGTCCTCGCGTCCGTCCGCATCGCCGCCGCCGCGCGGGTCCTCGTACACCTTGGCGAGCTCGTCCTCGGAAGGGGCACAATAGGGGGGGCTGGCTCAGGGGTGGAAACATGGGCCTGGGATCGGCGATACGTCGCCGATAGATCGGCGATAGGCCCTCGATAGCCAATCCGCATGCTCCTGGGCGGGACGGGGCGCGATCGGGCCCCCATCGGCGATCAATGGGCGATCGGGAGTCGATGCATTCCCCGTGAGCCTATCACCCCTATCGTTGCCCCTGATCCTCCAGCTGCTCCTTGGACTTGTGCTTCACCTTCTGGCCCATGAGCCTACACGGCGAGGCCCCGGGGCCGGCACGCCGGCTGGGGAGCGAGAGAGGAGGAGAAAGAGGGCGTGGCAGGGCAGAGAGACAGCCGCGTCAGGAAGCGCCTCGGGCCCGCCGCCATGCCAGAGGCACACCAGGGCGTGCCAGAACGCCTGCCGGCCATCCCGTGGGGCCCCCGCAGTTCTCCAGGGGAGGCCCTCGACGCGACGTCGGCTCCCTCCTGCCCTCCGCTTCGGGATAGACCCCCGTGCCTTTCCCTTCCCGTCGCTCTCCTCGCCCCCCGCGACAGGCGCAAGACCGCTCAGCATGGCTGAGGACGCCGCAATACCGGCCGACGGCGGCCCAATGACGCCCCAGAGACAGAGGCCCCGAGATATCCCCAAGAGGCCCCGACAGGCCCCAGGATGCCCCCAAGAGAGGCCCGAAGAAGCCGTCCAGCAAGGCCCTGGAAGCCAGGCGCAACTGAGAACCTCGCGCGTGCTCGTGCGGCGGTTACTGCTACTCCCCCTGCTTGCCTGCCCGAGATGCCCAGGCATCCGACGTCGCGTCTTTTCCTCACAGCGTGGCTCCCCATCGGTCCGACACCTTCCCGGGACCGGCGCTTCCTCCTGACTCCTGTGTTCACGGTCCCAGGGCCCACTGAGGGCCCCCTGGAGGCCGAAATAGGACGACGAGAGGATGCCAGGGTGGCCTCGGGGAGGTTTCAGGGAGCCCAAAACGGGCCCGGCGGACCTCAAGAAGCCCCATGGACTGCTCGAGACGGCCTCGCAAGAGGGCCCGACTTGGCCTGGGCACCTGCCAGGCGGCCCACGACCGCCCCCAGGAGGCATCCAGCACGGCCCCAGAACGCGTCGGGCAGCCCCAAAAAATGCTCTGCCGCTCCATCTCGCGCTCGGATGAGGAGGAGGAGGAGGAGGAGGAGGAGGAGGAGAAGGAGGAGGAGGAGGAGGAGGACGACGACGAGGAGGAGGAGGGGGAGGAGGGAGGAGGGAGGAGGGAAAAGACCCCACAGGCCCGCAGGAACACGCCCAGACCCTCCCCCCCAAGAGGCCCTCGAGGCGCTCCCGAGAGCCCCCCGCCCCTCCCAAACTGCACGACAAGAAACCCCGCAAGGAGGCAACGCGACGACGGCGCAACGCCGCCGCCAAAGCCACGCTGCAAGATCTCAGCAGCGCTCTCCAAGCTGCCCCAAGAACCGCGTCGAGAGCTCCGCAGAATCCTCGCGTCCGGGGCGGGCGACGAGCTTCCCAGGGGGGGGGGAGGCCGTGGGAGGGGGCCCGTGGGGGTCCGCTGCCACTTTGGCAGAACCACCCTGCGCACAAGTCGGCGCTGCGCTGGCACGGTGGCAGGGTCTGCCACCTGCGGCTGCACATCATGACCAGCCGTCGCCACGATGCTTCTCCTCGGCAGGCTGCTGGAGAGAAAGGGAGGCGTCAGCGGGGGACAGCGCGACCACGCCCAGCTCGCCGAGAACCAGACGGCGGGCGAACCCGTGCCGCAGGGCCGTCCTCGCCCTCCCCGCCCGAGAGAGACCGATCCGGAGGCACGGAGGGTGAGGAGGGATGGCAAGGCAAGCAACATCACAACCAGCTCCGCATCCCTACAACGCTGGTGGGCGGCCAGAACCATGACAGGAAATGATGGCCGGCTGGAGGTAATGGCCAAGTTCCGACCACCTCGAAGGCGCGCCTTGCTCAGAGCGATCGTCGAACCCAATGTGAAGCTGAACCGGGAATTGTTCTGGATGTGTCATTGGTAGCTCACCTTTGCTACAAGGGCCGTGACGAATTGCAGAAAAGACTAGGTCAACGTATATCCCACCAGCCCTCTGGGCGTAGGTGGTCTAACCGTACTGTTCGTTCCTCTTTCAAGACCCCTCTTCCCATCGGGGAGGGGTACCCTCCCCCTCCCCTTCCTGAGGTTTGGTGCTGGCCGGGGTCCGCGAGCAGTCAGAGCGACCAACATAGCCCAAGATGGCTCCAGGAAGGCCTCCGATGCTTTAAGTCGGCTCCCGAGATGGCTCAAAATACCCGAAGGCGGTTCAAGATGGCTTCCGACACGCCTCCAATATGTCCGAAGAGGACAACCAGACGGCTCCAGGTGCTCTCGGAGACCTCCCAGGACTTCCCGAAAAGGCCAGAATCATGCAGGCGAATGGGAGATCCGTGATGTCTGCCTTCGCGCCTTTTCGCTCCCGATGCGGTCTGAAGGCCTCAAGATGGCCCAAGAAAGCCCCAAGAGGAGGGGGAGGAGGAGGAGGAGGAGGAGGAGGAGGAGGAGGAGGAGGAGGAGGAGGAGGAGGAGGAGGAGGGAGGAGAAAAGGAGGGAGAAAGGAGGAGGAGGAGAGGAGGGAGGAGGAGGAGGAGGAGGAGGAGGAGGAGGAGGAGGAGGAGGAGGAGGAGGAGGGATGAGGAGGAGGAGGAGCAGGAGGAGGAGGAGGAGGAGGAGGAGGAGAGGGCAGGAGAGGAGGAGGAGGAAGGAGGGAGGAGGAGGGAGGGAGAGGGGCCCGCGAGGCCCCCTTAGAGACGGCCCCGGGGCCGCCCGAGGGCGCCCCCAAGAGGGCCCCCCGAGAGGCGAGTGGGATGGCCCCCCCCGAGGGCAGGGGGGAACTCGGGGGCCCTCCCTCTCCTCAACGGCGCCCTTCCAGGTGGCCTCAGGAAGGCCCCGAGAGGCGAGTGGGATGGCCCCGGAGGGCGGGGGGAACTCGGGGGCCCTCCCTCTCTTGAACGGCTCCCTTCAAGAGGGCCCAAGCCCCCACAGAGCCCCAAAAAGGACCCCGAGACCCTCCGAAATTGCCCTAAGGGGGCCCTCCCTGACGCGTCCCTGCATCAGATGTCGCTTCTCGGCTTCACGGGGTTCTGCTGGTGGCAGAAGTGGTAAAGCGTCGTGGCGCCCCTCAGGAGGCCGAAAAAGGACGTAGCGCCACCCAGCATCGAGCCCCGGCGGTGCAGGAGCCTTGCCACGCGTGGCTCGGTTACCCTCCCTCTCTTGAACGGCTCCCTTCAAAATGGCCCCAGCCTCCACAGAGCCCCAAAAAGGACCCCGAGACCCTCCGAAATAGCCCCAAGGGGGCCCCGAGATGGCCGCGAGGAAGCCCCAAGAGGGCCTCCAGAAGACCACAAGATGGCTGCCAGAGTCTTCGTCCTCCTCCTCCTCCTTCTCCTCCTCCTCCTCCTCCTCCTCCTCCTGCTCCTCCTCCTGCTCCTCGTCGTCTTCTTCTTCCTCCTCGCCCTCTTCCTCCTCGTCCTCCTCCTCCTCCTCCTCCTCGTCCTCCTCCTCCTCGTCCTCCGCTTCGTCCCCGTCCGTCCTCCTCCTCCTCCTCCTCCTCCTCCTCATCATCATCATCATCATCCTCATCATCATCCTCATCATCAGCATCATCATCATCATCATCATCAGCATCATCATCATCATCAGCATCATCATCATCATCATCATCATCATCATCATCAGCATCATCATCGGCAGCATCAGCATCAGCATCATCAGCAGCATCATCATCATCAAACCTCCTCCTCGTCCTCTTCCTCGTCCTTCTTCTCCTCGTGCTCCTCCTAGTCCTCCTCCTCGTCCTCGTCCTCGTCCTGGGTCTGATCAGGCTGATCCAGTACTTGTTCCACTGCATGCTTCCACACGTCTTAATCAAGGCAACTTGCCTGGACATAGTTTCTGGATGGGCTGGTGGGGATACGCGAAGCGCCAAAACTTTCGAACATGGGTGGGCGCAGGTGCATTTGTCGTGAGACGACCAAAACAAGCGTGCGTGCACAATTCTAGAGTTAATGGTTTCTACGCAGAAGAATGTGTATGAAATGTATGTGTGTGTGTGTGTGTGTCCGCTTGGAAGGGGCACGATGACCACACGACAAAGTAAAGCCGAATGTGTTAGCGTAAATCCGCCGAACCTTTCGGCGTGTGAGAAGGGCTTGCTTGTTCGAGTCGTCGTCTCTGTTAGTCGTCGTCTCCGTCGTCCCCTTTCCCTGTACCATCCTCCTCAAGCCTGTCTTGGAATCATTCAGGGGCCTCTTGGGTCGTCGCGGACGCTGTGAAAACGAACAAGGCGAGAACATGAAAATTCTGTAGACACCTTCTGTTTTTTGCCGGGCGTCTATGGAGCCCCATGGCGTCAATTTTGCAGATGCGGCGTGGGGCTGGGGTGGAGACGACCTTGTCCGACTGGGGGGCAAGACGCGCTGCCATTGGAAAAAGGGATGAGGGAATGGCACGGGCAGACTGCTGAGAGGGAGTGGGGTCCATGGACCAGTGCGCCCGTTTACTCAGTAGTTGGGCCCATTTTTGGGTGGACAGGCAACACAAAACGCTGGGGCGTGCATCTAAAAATGGGTGCATGTCGGGTTCGATGCATCAGGAGGGAAGCAACATACGAATGAACAAGGAAGGCCCGACACACTGCAAACACTGCAAGCGCGGTGGCGTATACATAACCATGTGTATATATGCATTATATACACACACACGCGCCTATGTATTGTATATATTCTGTAAACATAATCCGTCGGTCCCCTTGTGGGGCCACCAGGCTGCGAGGCGCGGGTTCGCAGTTTCCAGTACCAGTTGTAGCTTGTAGTTTCCAGTGTTACAGTTCTGCTTCTTGCTGGTTACTGTAACTAGTTGATTGACCGCGCGGGGGGGGGGGAGGCCCAAACGGGATTTTTTAGCACCCCCTGGGCGCGTTGTCTGAATTGCTGGGGGGGCTCGAAATCGACACCCCTCACGCAGATCCGCGGGGTCAGGGTCCAAAAACACATGGGATTTGCCACATTTCTGAAATTCGGTGCCACCCCTCACGCAGATCCGCGGGGTCAGGGTCCAAAAACACAGGGGATTTGCCACATTTCTGAAATTCGGTGCCACCCCTCACGCAGATCCGCGGGGTCAGGGTCCAAAAACACATGGGATTTGCCACATTTCTGAAATTCGGTGCCACCCCTCACGCAGATCCGCGGGGTCAGGGTCCAAAAACACAGGGGATTTGCCACATTT